AAAGTTTAAATGGGCCTTTCATGTTATATCATTAAATTTAGTAATACTATTTCTCGGGCATTAGGTTTTAACTCTTATAAGAATATACATATTTTTTTCTGTTAATGTACAAATATTTTTCCGATGTGTTTTGGATATTCCTTCTCTAATAAAAAGAGATACCATTTTGTTTTCGGTTGTACAAGAAAGAAGATCAAGCATTTTTCTTTTTTAAATTTAATAAGCCACATTAAAGAAGGAACGTTGCAATGCTACACGCTACATTAACGACGTCTCCAGAGTAACTGAATGACGGTTCATATGGAAATCGCAGGTAAGCGTCTCATACAACAACGCCCCCTATAGTTCGTTGCGATCGCGAATACTGGTTTACGGAAATGAAAAAGTTTTAGAATTTAAATTAAATTGCTTTTTAATGATCAACACTGATTACGTGCAATGCAAAGGTACGGCGGAGATGTCAGAAAATAATCACTACGACGACGCAAACGTCACTTTTTGTGCGTAAAACCGGTCTGTCAAAAGCGTGTTGCTTTTCTAAACCCCCCCCCCGGGAAAGTTAAATGTCCTTATCCCCTATATTAGTCCCTGATTCTATCAAAAAAATAGCGAAAAGATATATTGTGCACTAATATAGCCAAATAAGGGGAAAATTTAAGACATGGCAAACCTTACACTTAATTTATGTTATGATAGTACTTTTCTTAAATTAGTTTTCGGCTCACGACCTGTTACAATTTATAAATTGCAGAAAACTCTTATGAATGGTAAAACTACGCGTACATTTAAACACTAATCACAATAATGAAACTTCTTATTAGTCCCGCAATGGACTGATCGTTAAGACACGGTTCCGAGCAGATCACCGAAGTCAAGCATCACTGGCTGCGGTCAGTGTGCGGGTGGGTGACCACTTGGATCAGTCTGCGTAGGGACCGAAGGTGTGCGGTATTGGTCCTCGTTAAACTGTGCTACCGTAAAGTGCTCGACTTCGCGTGCAGGTCGTCGGGCTACCGAAGCGGAGGCGCCATCCCCTCTGCAGAGGATGAAAATTGTGATGGCATGTCTTCGGATCATCCTCCGGGATGTTTCCCAGACCGTCGCCAATAGCCCATTGTGCAGCTCTAGTGCGACGTAAATTAACAACAGCAACAACAACTTCTTAGAATATTACGCCTGTTCACTTCACTCATCGCCTCGCATAACATAAGCGGAGGAATACACCGGAAGTTTTCCAAATTTGTTTTGGTTTTAAAATGTTTGTTATTGTTTCCCATAGATTTTCAATCAGTCAATCATCCATTACTTCAGTGACTAAATATGCCAAGAAATACGGAATTTGAACTTGTTTATTGAAATTGAATAGATCAAATTCAACTTTATAGGACGCTTAGAGTCCTGCCAAAAATTGAGACTAACTAAAGCCTGCTGAAGCTGAAACTACAGATTATTAAGCAAAAATCTAGATAATAATGTGATGTTTATGTATTTAATCACTGGAGTATAATAGTGCTCGTGCAGCGAAGTATATTTTCTATTTCCAATTTGTTTGTTTATACTATATGTTTATTTATACCAAAGACAGTCGAAATCTTTTATACTAAGGGATAAAGTTAATTCGTTAATTAGAGCTGAGCTAAATTGTCGAAATTTAAAACTGTAATTCACAAAAATGAACTTTTGAATTGAATTTTTATAAAATATCAAAACTGTAATTAAAATTTAATTGTTAAATATGTTTTCTATGCAAGAGAAAGCTTAGAAATTGTAACACTTAATAATCTATAAACTTAAATAATATTTAAGTATTATTTATTGGAAGCAATATTTTTCGTTTTTTATTTTAAAGAATGTTTAATTCAAAAATCACTGATATTCACAGTTTTAGATTTAACACTTGTTTGTTTCTTCCAAAATGTAATTCTTTTTGTTTATTTAGTGCTAAACAATATTTGTTGATTGATTTATATTACTTTATAGTTAAGACTGCTACTTTAAATAAGTTTGCATTGAAGAAGCTCTTGTAAAGAAGAAAACCCTATCTTTTTTAAACCAGAGATAAATTTTTGTGGTAGCTATTTATTTAACTTAAGTTACATTTCAGTGCTTTGTGTATATACATACCCTCCAACTTATGAAGATTTTGAAAATAATTCTTTCTAGTGGTAGCGAACCAAAGTATAAATTTTTAAAGCAAAATGATCTCTCATAAAACTTTTATCAGAACTTAAGAATGTAGCCATATGGCCTGCACTTTTATAAGTAATAGTGGACAAGTTCCGCTAAAATTAATTTTTTTTAAATATTAAGACGTTAATTTTGCTACCATCTGAAAAGAAGATTTCTGAAACTACGGAAATTCCGTAGCAGTTGGAGGGTATGTATATACATTATATTTGGATATGTGATTGCTCACAAATTTTGTGTGAAATGCAAAATTTTAATAATTTTTGGAAAGGCGCAGAAAAATGTTTTTTTTTTTTTTGCTCATCTTCCCCCCCCCCCTTAAAATGGCTTAAAACATAAATTTCTTATTATTTTGAATTTATTTGTACCATTATTGTTCTTTTTTTTACTTTTCTTACAAGAAATGAAATGTTTGCATAAATAAGTGATTTTTATAAATGCGGACAAGAAAATATACAGTGTAAAGTCTCATATCCGGAACCATCAGACTTCAGCTAGTCGGGAAAATGGATTTTTCTGGATACTAGGTCTTCAAGGTAAAAAAAACATCAAAATATCCTTGTTCAATAAAAATAACTAATAGAAGATAATTAACTCCAATTTCACTCAACGTATAAATCTACGTCATTTGCCAATTGTTATTTTAGCAGCTATTGTTACTGATATCCACACGATTTTTAGAATTTCACTATTTTTATGCGTCATTATCAGGGATTTGTCCAGGGTATATTTACTGCCGTTTAGCAGTACCTTCACAAATTCAACTTTAGGAAGAATGGTAGTTTCACAAAATACTTATAAAGCAAGTTCTCATGCAAACCCTGTTCTCGTTGCAATCTAGGGAAAAGTGGGGCTTTTTTGCCAGATGTCTTTTACGAAAAGGTAGCACATGTATGGTCAGATACTGCAATATGGTAAACCTAACCACTCACGCCATATCAAAGCGAGCTTTTTTTTAGCCGAGTTTTTTAAAATGAAACAACGAGGGTCTTCCTTTGTAAACTTTACAGAAAGTCAAAATTCGAACATTATTATAAGCATTCAAACATTATCTTAAACTATTGTAAATTTATTCTGACAGACCTTTATTTTTATGAAACATTTTTTTTCTCTGAAGCTTTTTTCTGTATGACCTAGTCGAAAATGTTCTCATAATAAAGACAACTTTTAGTGCTAGTACTGTTAAATGCATGTTTTTTATTAAATTCAAGTTGAAATTTAACTATGGACAATGATTTTTGTGGAATTTTAAAATTGGATGCAATTTTCAGCCCACGATTTTACAATAGCAAAATTATCTTTCATATGGGAAAAAATGTACAAAAATTTACCTGTCATAAATGATTTTTATTTAAAGTGACAATTTTTTAATATATTTTCATACGTTTCACTATTTTTTTTATTAAGTTTTTAACATAATTTTTGATTTTCACAAATTATATCTAAGTTTTCACAAAGTAGGTGCCTCTAAAAAAAACACACACACATACCCCTGATTATTAAAGGCCACGAATAACACATTTCAGTGAATAATTTCTCAACTATCCACGATTCCAGCCCTAATCCATGTTGTTGTTTTTTTAATCGTTTTTTGGATGGTTTTTAAAGCCTTATGGTATTATTTCGTTCAACGAACATCTAATCCCACGTTCAAAGAATCACTTTTTTACGTATTCAATTATTGGTAATTCACCCGCAACCACACAAAGATTTATGATTCCATTTTTGTGAGTTACTGTCAATCATTTTCATAGTTTTTAAAAAAATTTTTAATGCTACTTGTCATACTTGGGAAATTTCAAATCACCCATTTGAAGAGTCACTTTTTTATGCACTGGATTATTGGCAATTCACCCATAAAACCATATAGTTCTATTATCACAATTTTGTTACTGACACAGATTTTCACAAGGTTTTTAAAGTCTTGCACGTATTCGAATGGTCCAGATGACATTGTATAGTCCAGTACTAAGATCATTTTGTCGATCACATTTTTAACTATTTGGAATTTCCACATAGTTTTAATGTTTCCATTTTATTTTTGATATATACTATTACTGTACGTGTTTTTTGAAACACACTTTTAAAGAATCACTTTATTGCTTACTTTACATCTCAAATCCACAATATTTTCATAATGCAAGAGTTTTGCACATTCTAAAACTGAGTAGGTGATTCTTGGTGGTAGTAATCTTTTTATGCGAAAGAGAGAGAAAAATTTGTTTTTTTTTCGACTGACATGAAATACCTCTGAGATAGCGAATCTCAATTTTATTTTCAAAATAACTATTTTTTTTTATTAGATTACAACAGAAATCAGATTAAAATAAAAAATTTTGAAGTCTAATAGAAATCATGAAAAATTTGAAATGAAATGAAATTTGATGGAAAATGTTAAGATTTTTATCCCTTTATACAAAATTGCAAGAATTAATTTTTTTTTAAAGAAAAAAGAAAAGGGTTTTGTTTATTTTGATTTTTAAAAAGTGTGTGAAAAATAGACCCTTCCAGTAATCGGACATTCAGATATTCGGCTTTGTACTGTAGTTATAAACTGGCTATTCCTCTAGCTTTTGTGGGAGCTAAATTTATTAGTTGAAAGTACTTTTGAGCACCTTTCATTTGCTATGACATGTAGAAAACCTATTTTCTATTACAAAATCTAAGCTTATGTTTAAAAAAGATCAATAATAGATTTTTTTTTTGTAATTTTTTCTTTTTTTAAAATTTATTTCAATTTAATGTAGACTCTAATTTTTTTTTTTGTCAATTCCTTACATTACCAATATTAAAATAGAAAATAAAAGTTTTTTAAATTTAAGTTTAAATTATGATATACTGATTCTGATTTCTGAAGAGCGATTCTAAATGCTCACCTGCCAAACCATGTGTAATAGACAGTTCTATACTATACTTCTTCTCCTATTTATCTATTCCATTAGATAAACAGTTTTATACACTTTGGAACGAAGCTTATTAAATAATTATTGCATGCATTTTTCTCTCCTTTTAATTGAAATTCACAATATTTTTTTAACTTTTGATTTTATTCAACATTATTTGATAACATGTTTGAAAACAAGTGTTTAAGTATTTTAATTTTTGTTTACTGATTGAAAGCTGAAAGTTTGTAGCATTTTAATTGTCTTTTTAAATACATTTTATGCATTATAATAGATGGTTTATTTATTTATTTTTTCATTTTAAAAAGTAGAAATTTATTTTGATAATACTATGCCTGCCATCATTATTTGAAAAAAATTGCTTTGTAAAAACAAACTTTAATATCTATACTTAAGTGTTTCACCTCGATGATATTTTATTGTAACATGCTTACAAACAAGTGTTTCAGTATATTTTAATTTTTGTTTTCTGATTGAAAACTGAAAGTTTGTAGTGTTTGATTATGTTTTTAAATACATTTTATGCATAATAATCGATGGTTTTTTTTTTTAATTAAAAAAATTATAAAATGATTTTGAAATATATTATAGTATATTTTTTAAGGTATAGGCATCAGTGATGCGGAAGATAGTCAGTAAAGGCCTTAAAAATTTGAAATCATTAAAAATCCTTACTCATACTTTTAACAAATAGAGAAAATGTTCTTTGATGATCATCAATTTCAATTCAACTAAGTTAAAAACAAGTCAAGAAATAAAAAAGAATGCTCGTTTATTTTTAGCGGACAGAAAATGTCTTCCTTTTTTTTTCTCTTCTGAATGTGTGAAGCTTAGAAAACTGTTGTAACTGTTGGTCTTCCACCCCTTTGAAAAATTAAACATCCGTGACACCCATTTTATAAGGATTTAACAAGTTTAAGAAAAATATGCTTAAAGTGTATTTTTCTTTTAAAAATTTTTTTTTCATGGTGCATTAGAGCAAACTACTGATCTATTAAAAATGTTCTAGGCATTCAAGAACAGGTTGAAAGCATGTTTAAAAGCTTTTAGCTTATAATATATTTTTTGTTGAAAAATGAAATTTAACTACTATATTATACAACAGGTGAAGAAACTTAAAAAGGGTTCAGAAATATGAAAATGTTTGTTCTGTATTTAAATTATGCTGCACAAGCCATACAGTGAAAAAATAATTTAGTTTTGGAAAACTATCTTTTTCCTGTGTCATATGAAAATGTAGATGTCAGAGTTTATAATTTTACTTGAATTATAAAATTTGAATTTATGATTATATATTGATTTAATACGGAATTTTAATTTAACTTATTTTTCTTACTTTTTCATTATTTTGTATTATACCGGTCAAAATAGGTGAAAAATATTATATTTAGCATTTTAATAATTTTTTTTGTTATAAATTTCCGCATTGGACACCCTTGTTGCGTTGAAGTTAAAATTTACCAAACATGGTTCACTTCCAAACAATAATTTTTTTAATTTGCAATTATTTAGATCTGAGTGAAACAGTAATTCAGTATGAAATAATTTTTTTTTTAATTCGCTAAATCAATTATTATATGTTTGATGATACGTTTTTAAATATGAATGAAAACAAATATTTCAAACTGCTTTTTTTGTATTTTATATTTTAGAACAAGTGTAATTCCGACACTCTGAAACATTTTTTTTCATAACTATCAGATAGTTTTTTATCATTAAAAGATACCAAATTATATTTTTACTTGTCTATATATATATATATANTATATATATATATATATAAAAGGGATCCCAGTATCCCATCTGTGCCAAAGTTATTTCATAATTTCAATTATTAAATTACTTTTTTATTTTATTGACAGAAATATGCAAGTTTTTAAAATAACCACATTTTTATTTTAGTCTTGAAATACATTTCTATCTGCTTCATACTTGGCATGGAATATCAAAGTCCTGATCCATATATTGAGAAAAAAGGCACATTTTACCAGTGCAATTTGTGTGCTTCACATCTGAATAGTGTAGGTCAAGTACAGAGTCACATTTATGGAGCTAATCATCAATCACGTTTAAAAGCAGTGAAACCAGTGCTGCAACAAGCTGAAGCAAATGTAAATTCCACTCAACAAAAGTTTTCTACTTTTAGTTTAAATCTGGAATCCAACCTACCTCAATATGTTGAAAAACATAGATTTGGGTATAAATGTGCGTGCTGTGACATACCACTGAACAGTGATTCACAAATCATGAGCCATGTGGCAGGAGCTAAACATATAAAGAAAGCTACGTCTTTTTATGATAATAATTTGATTTCTAGCAGGGAAACAAAGATGGAAATTGAAAATGTGGGTCCACCAGCAAACGATCATAATAATGCTAAAATGTCCTCTGTTACATATAATCAAAATATATCTAACCCAGTCTTTAGTTCTGATTTACCTCCATATATTGAAAGATTTGAAGATCAATATAAGTGTGAATGTTGTAACACTATATTGAATAGTTCTTCACAAATTCATTCTCATGTGAATGGAATTAGGCACATAAAAACAAAATTATTGTATGATGCGAACCCTGCACTTAGTGCTGTTAAATCTGATTGTGGAAATTTAAACGGAACAAAAAATGAGGAAGAGTCATTTGATTTGTATTCAAATCTTAAACAAATAAATCCTGATGAATTGATGAAAAGTCTTAAAATAATTAAAGCAAATGAGGCTGTTATTTTTTAAATTTTTTCTTCTTTTTACTGTTAGTTTATAAATTGTATTGTTCATCTATGAAATCTATCTATTGAAGTTGTTATGCAATATTGTTGTATTTTAAATTTTTTTTTTTTGCTATGAAACTACTTGCATTTCTAATTCAGTCTTTAATTCCAATTTACCTTCATATCAGGGTGCATAGCATTTTTAAAAAGTGCTTATTTTTGATTTACATTTTTTAAGAGATCCTAAAGGTGCTTTTTTTATTTTCGGTTTGTGAAAAGTGCTTAATTTTTTGTCTTTTAGAATAAATTTTTTCTTTGCCTTGTTGATTGTTGTTCTAAATCACAAAAAATGCTTGATTTTTCACAATTTTCTCTGCAATATTTATCAGAAACTAGTTATTTTGTCCTGATTATGTAAAGTTTTTGAAAATGTTTTTGAATTTTATTGATTTTATGTTTATAAATTGAGAACTTTAAACAATAGAAAGAAAAATTAATTTTTATAACTGCACGGGTCCTAATTAAAAAAAAAAATTTTTTTTTTGGAAAGTGATTAAAAATATGTTTACGTTCTTAAAAAGTACTTAAAAGGTGCTTATTTTTTGTTGAAAAATCTGCCTACGCACCCTGTCTATACATTGAGAGATTTGCGAAAATTTGAAAAAATGTATTCTATGAAATTTGTATTTCATAAATGAAATGCTTAAAGAAGATACACATTGTCTTAATAGATACTAAATCTGTAATACTACAGGGTGGCTCCAAAATACTGTTACAAATATGAGAAACACTGTAACTGTAAGTTTACTTGAAAGAAATTTATTCGAATCGACCACCATCTTTATCGATTACTAAAGCTTATATTTTACGCCATTGTCCGATGACCATACGAATCAATTTAAGAGGTTATTTGTCCCATTCATGCAATAACAGGGTGGCCACCCACCTGGAAAACCTTGAAAACCTGGAATTATCAGGGAATTTTTTTATACTGGAAAAAACCTGGAAATATCAGGGAAATTTGAATAAAAACCTGGAAAAATCAGGGAATTTTAAAGAAGACCTGGAAATTTTTTCTTTGATAATTTTTTTGATTTCACTAATTTAAATAATTTACTAATTTTCTTAATTTAAATTATTTCATCCCTTTTTTTAAACGGAAATGTATTGCCAAGCAGTTGAAATATCATCAACTTAGCAATACTTTGCTTGCATCAAAATTTGCTCCATTACAGCTCTGTTAAATTAGAATGCCACATAAAATTCTCTCACTGTTGCTAAACGAATATAGAAACCTTTGACCGCTATGGGACTGTGCAATTTAGGAAAGATTCTGGTGGAGGTGGAAAAAGGGATTAGGATATTAGCTTCTGTTTTTAAATTCTGTCCTTGGGCATCAGCCCAATTATAGCTCCATTTATTTCTCAAGTTTGTTCTGATGCTTTAGTGGTAATTTTGATAAAATGTTTTTGTATTTTCAACTTTATAAATTCTCCAAAAGTTATTTGGTTATAATTTAATAATAATAGATTTCATATTGCATTCTTTTTCTGAAAGCTTTTCTACTCCCATTCAAAGAAATCTGTGAATTTTTTTTTTCAGCAAACCAACCCATCGCACATTTTTTTACAATCGCTAACAGCAATGTTTGTCAACAAATCATTACAATTGTTGCAGTAATGCTAATTTTTTTAATTTCATTTGAACCTTTTATAACATATTTTAATTTAAGAAAAAAAGGTTTTTTTAAGAACCAATTATATATTAATATTTAATTTTACTCTTTTGTTGGTCAATATATGATTTTTGATTCAAAATTTTGTACCAAAACATTAAAAAATCTTGCCAAATTGTCAAAAATTATTTCTTTCAAAATGATATGTTTAAAAAAATAATAACATTGTGAATAAAATATTTTATAATATAGACACTTTTCTTGTACACATCCTAGACATTATAAGAAAAAGAAACAAAAACCTGGAAATTTTAAGATTTTTGTCTGGAAAACCTGGAAAAATCAGGGAAATTTGAAACCTGATTTGAGTGGCCACCCTGAATAAAAAGCTCTGAGAAAGTCCAAAATTATGTACTGCTTATAGCATTAACTTTAGACTCTAGAATACCCCAAACATCGTAGTCTAAAGGATTTAGATCCGGTGAAGAAGGGCCAATTTTCTTGCTTGATAAACTCCGGGCAATTGACATGACCTGTGTTGTTTTGGCTCGGTGCCATGGTGCAGAATCTTGCTGAAATATCCAATCCTTTTTGGGATGCAATCTGTCATCATGTGGCAATAAATCTGTTGCCAATGCTTTCTCTTTGTAATATTTAGCATAGATTTTTACTCTTTTGCTGGTGCATTTCAAAGGAAATTTTCTGTTATTTGATACTGCAGCCCAAACCATTATAGAATTCTTGTTCTGAAAGCGTTGTACAGTTCGAACGCTTTCAGGTATATCATCGAAGGTTGTTGAATATACAACATTATTTCTAGCATCATAACTTTGTTCCGTGCGAAATATTTTATCATTCGAAAAGATTATTCTGTCAACGCTTTTGCTCCCGTGTCGATTCTGCGATTTCTTCCATCTTTGCTACTTTTTTAATTTTTGTGCAGTTGTAAAACCTTTAACTTTTCTTCTGCGATAAGCGCAAAAACCCAGATCTTCATTTAATATAACTTGCATAGTTTTCAAACTCATGTTCTCTCCTGCAGCTGTTTTATTAGCAGACCGTAGTGGATTTCTTTGTATCATTTCACGAATTCTTTAATGTGCTCTTTTGTACGAACTGTGCAAGGATAACCAAACCTGGGTCGATCTTTACAGCTATTAGTATATAATATTCGATTTATAGTTTGATATATAAATGTTCTATTAAATACAATAGATTCTATTTGCTTAAAGATTCTATCTGCAGAAAAACTAATACTTTGAACTAATAGTAATATGCAGAAAAACTAATATTTTGAACTAATAAGAAAAGCTAATAATCATTCTAAATATTTTGCTTTAAACTAAAATCGTCTGCACTTATATAAAGTACCACTCACTGGAATAGTGGGAGCGCAATAGTTTTACCAAACGTTTAAAATTAATTCATATTATTTTGGAATGTTACAGTATAAAGTAGTCATCCTGTACAGTGCTAAATACAGTAGGGAACCGATTATCCGGATTGGGACCATCGCTATTCCGGATAACTGATTTTTCCGGTTTTCTGAATCGATACAAAAAGCCGTTTTTTTATTGTTAAACCCAACTAAAAAAAAACAAAAATAGTTGGAAATAATCTTAAAGAGAAGGAAAAACGACGAAGTAATACACTAATGATTATTTCCCAAATGATGGTAAAGTAAACATCTTTCAAAAAAGAAGAAAAATCCTAAAATGTCATGAGGAAAAAAAAAATTTTTTTTTTAAAAAATGGCCGGAAAATTTATCAAATTTCGTTCCGGTTTTCTGATTTCCGGATAACGGGTTCTGTACTGTATTTGCATTGCAATAAAAATACATATCATTTCAGATTTAATCTGAAGTTGGACAAACTTTTCTACTTAATTAATATCAATACATTGTGAAATATTATAGTTTAAATTTTTAAAATATTCTCAAAATTCTGATCTCTTCAGCATGTTCTTGTTTTTCGTTTTGTGCTCTTTATCCCAAATTCATCTGTTTATTCAATTTTCTACTGCTTCTTTTATGAGCATTAGCTACAAATTTTATACATACTAATTATCTTAAATACTAAGTCTCATTCTCCTTTTATTTTCTGCTAAAAATATTGTTTTAAATTAATTGATAATTTTATAATATCATTATGTTGAGATCTTTTAAAATTAAAGTTTGATTAACTATTAAAAGTTTAATTGGTCTTTATCATTTAACATAATTTCATAATTTTTACACAGTTATCTATCAATCTAATGTAACAACAACGCCTATTGCACCACTCAACGAATGTTATCGGCTTTAAATTCCTATATTTTGTTTACATTTGTTTTGTTTTTTTGTTTGCACCTGTTAGGGTAAACGTGTGGTCTGTCACTAGTGAGCTGGATTATGGAATGCAGGGTTTTATTGTGTCTTTTTACTTAGTGGTTTAGACAGGGCTCCCGCGGGTCAGGGAAAACCTGAAATTGTCAGGGAATTCTATATTAACTCCAAAAATCAGGTGAAGTTGTAATTATTTGCATAAACCTGGGAAATTCTTGTATCATACATGGAAAATAACTTGTCTTTAAATTGTCAGTATTAGTAATCAGTTATTGAGATTCCAGTTAAATAATTGTAACATCTATTACAATTATTTGTAAAAATTTCCAATTTTAATCAAATTGACGTGTTAAAATTCATTTTATATAAAGTTTTCTATCTATAGTTCGGTTTTTATAAAACAGATTTCAGAACTAATGGCATGAAAGTTTTTTTTTTTTTTTTTTGCATCAGGATCATGTTTAAGAAGTTCAGTTTTATTCTAGGCAGAAAAACTATAATTGTTTCCTCTATAATGAAATGCATTTCAGTTTTTTTTCCTTTGTTTAGGCATGTTAGTATGTCAATTGCATTTAAATTTATTTAATTTTCATATTTTTTATTAATTGTGCAAAAAAATGCCCACATTCTAATATCTTTACTATAGTACTTTTCTTTTTCAACACATTGATAAAATTTTGCTTGCTTCACAGAATGATACGGAATTCACACTTGGTTTAAAATATAGTGACATCTTGATTTGCTAAAACTCCTGTGATACAAATTTGAAATATATACATATATATATATATATATTTTAAATAGAAATACTATATACGTTTATTGCCATCTTTCCATAATATTTTCTTTCTTGGTATTTCATCCTTAATTATTTATACTGACCTAAACTTTTTGGTTTATATTTGTCATGTAAAAAAAAAAAAATTAAAAAATTTTTCTTTTTTTAAAAAAAACTATGATTACCAAATAAAATGTTTGTTGTTGAATGAAAGATTAATTACATGATTTTTTATTATTTTTTTTATTTGAAGGGTTGGGAAAATGGAATATGAATAATAAAATATTTTTAGCATATATATTTTAATAATAAGTGCAAAAATCAAAATATATTCTGTATAACATTTTTATGGTTAGTACAAAATATATTTTATATTGACATTTTGTACTGCCTAGTTTTTTCTTAGACTATTAAAATGTATGTTTAAATCTTTACCTGATTTTAATACTTAAAAAACAAAAATCATTTATTTAACTTAAAATATTTATGAAATTAGAAATTGTTGAAAT